CTTCGCTCTTCTCTCTCTCTCTCTCTCTCTCTCTCGTCTCTTCAACAAAGCACTCCCAGCTAACTAACGCAGTACACATGAGAACTTACGCGACACAAGTCCATGCCGATCTCGATGTACTGCGTTCGTGTCTGCACACGGGTAGTTGAACGTACACGTACGGCCGGCCATGACACAATGACGTAATCTCTGTCACACGAAGACAACAACGAATTAAAAATTAAAGGCGTGCAAAACACACAAAACATTTTAGGTGCCCAACTGACCACAGATCCGGATTTATTATAATACCAACATCCGTGCCTGCTATCCTCTGAACAGGTTTATAACTAAAATGCCATTATTGAGAACCCTACAAGCTGTGCATCAAAATTCTACAAGGAGTAATGAGAAGGTAATTGAAGTAAAGAGTAAGAATGAGTAAAGCGAAAGAGTAAGGTCAATGATCTACGAAAGAGAGGCGGCGAGAGAGAGATAGGGACAGATGAGAGAGGGGGAGAGAGAGAGAGAGAAGGACAGCGAGCGACGGAGAGAAGAACCGACAGAGTAAGAGCATGAATGAAGAGACAGAGAGATGAGACGAGAGAAAGAGAGCAGGAGAAAAGAGAGAGACAGAAAGACGAGAAAGATAGTGAGAGAGAGCAGAAAGAGCAGAAAGAAGGAGAGAGAGAAGAGAGGGAGAGACGGAGAGAGAGAGAGCAGGCCAGAGAGGCGCCGAGAGGCAGAGAGCGATACCTGTGCCGATTTATGTCCTGTATGTGACACTCCACTCCTATGTAGGGCACCACCTGACACAGGTTCACCCACGAGTAGGTGGCAATCTGTACGATGCGCAGTGACTGCAGCGACAGCACGTGGTTCGGGTTGAGGCATTGCAGCCGTATCTCCTGACTCGCGCAGTAGTAACCGCCATCTGCAGCACAGCACACAGCGACTCGAATCACGCAGAGAAAAACACGATCGCACACAGAGCGATCGTGAATGTCACGTTCGATCCGGATTGTGATTGTGTATTACCACTAACACGCTAACACAGGTTGTGTGACAGTTCACTTACAGCTAACTGCTCTGTGAAAATCCCTAGAGTATTATGAGTTATTTTTATCATGTGACGATATTACCAGTATTAATAATCATACTATACAGATTATAATGCACCAAGACATGCTCTATGCGTAGAATCAAAATCTATAATAACGGTGTATATACAAACAGAGATGTTTCCAAAAGTATAGTTGTGTCACGAGTATAATGTTTTCTACGAGTACAAAATAACGGTGTACAATACAGAGGTGTTCCGAAAGTATAATTGTGTCACAAGTACAATGCTTTGTACGAGTACAATGCTTAATACTGCCCACAAAACCACGACTCACCAAAGTTTCTGAGAAGGGGTGTGCCGGACTCTGAGTGATAGTTGTATGTTGGCGTGTAGCGTAACCTCATACTGAGCATGTCACATCCCCGCCGCGCACTAAAACAATGTGACAGAGAGTGAATGCTATAGTGTTTAACATGATCTATCCCACGATCATACATGTAAAAACAAAATATATGCACAAAATGTATATCAATACAGTTACGTAAATATATCTATCTTCCTCGATGATATATCCTGTGATCTAATATATATATATAATATATTTTGTGATATATTTAATATTTCAATCATTCATTCTCAGTTCAATGAAATTACTGGAATGACATAACATCATCCACGTTTTCCATTTCTCCACGCTTCACACATTCTCTCACAGATTAATGAAATCATGGAAACAGCAGCATCATCATCATCATCATCATCATCATCATCATCATCATCATCATCATCATCATCATCATCATCATCATCATCATCGTCATCATCGTCATCATCATCATCATCATCATCATCATAAACTCTACCTGTAGTCCACACCGATACAGACAGGGAAGTTTCTCTCCTGACACTTCATGAGACAGAAGTTGAGGTCGGGCGCGTCGTAGTGAACTATGACCTCCGCGAACCCGCGATCCTGCTTGATCAGCGGCACCGGCACGGGGGCGCCACCTGTGCCCCATGCGGGCAGGTAGGGTATCCCTGCACGACAACACCGATGTTTACCAGAGCTTCTAAATAGACGGCTTTCGATAGATGAATAATTATTATAACATAAATAATATATATGTTAATAAGTAGTTATTAATAAGCATACTGATTTCTTTTCTATCATATCACGACAATAGACACGGAATCTACAAGCTATAAAGACATAATCCATATAATTCAACCCATGAAATCTCCAGTTAAGTCAGAAAAACCTTTCAAAATTCATCCGAAATTTGTGGTAGGCATGCTCGATCACACACAAAACAACGTGCGTGGCAAAGGTCCCAGGAAGAATGGCACACAGGGAAGGTAAGGAAGCTCTAGCACCGCGTGCACTCTCACCTCTGAGGTAGCATTGGGAAGGTAAGGAAGCTCTAGCACCGCGTGCACTCTCACCCCTGAGGTAGCACAGGGAAGGTAAGGAAGCTCTAGCACCGCGTGCACTCTCACCCCTGAGGTAGCATTGGGCGATGCTCATCGCTCCCTCGTCATCGGTGAACGTCAGGTCCGGACACTCGAGACAGAACCTGCTGCCGACGATGTTCTGGAAGAAGTTCTTCCTGCATGGCCGACACGGCTTCAGTCCCGTCTCAGAGTACTGCCCCGCGGGACACGGCTCTAAAACACGGGAACCATAGCAACGCTTAGCTTATCGTGTCACCATGGCAACAGCATAGCATAATATCACATATACACTAGATATAGCACATAGTGTTGTACATAGTACACATAACACATGCATAGTGTGAAAACTACACACAGCTTAATGAGAATAACAAGCGTAACGTAATGCAACAAAAACATGTAGGATACGTTATCTTTAGGAAGCTTTTCGCATAGTTAATCCCTGCTCCTTAATCTCCACCTATGCGCCTTACAGTTCAACTATTACTATACTTGTATATATATATACTATATATTACTATACACTATATACTACGTAATATATATATATATATATATATCTATATATATATTATATATTACTATACTACCGTTATGGTCAACAATGCTTTATCACGCCCCATGTACACTTATATCATCATGGTGATCACAATACACACGAGGCACTATAGCTAGCACAGACAACCAGCCATTAACCTACCGTGACAACGTAGGGACCCGACCTCCGCTGTGAAGGAGCCAGCAGGGCAAGGCTTACACTGTGTGGAGCCAACCTGCCTGCTGAACGTGTTGAACGGACAAGGGTCGCACGGTGGCAATCCCGTGTTGGAGAAATACCCAGCTGCACAGAGCACTGAAATGTGAAGATTAGCATCAACATCATCATCATCGTCAACGTCATCGTCATCGTCATCATCATCGTCAGCAGTAGCAGCAACAGTAGCCCCACCACTACCAGAACGAGCAGCAGCACTACCAGCATTGTTGGTGTCACCGTCTTCATCTGTCATGCTATCATCATCATTACCATCATGATGATCATAATTTTAATCCGAAATTGAGCATTTGCCTAACAACATATTCCTGCAAGATCACGTTTCTTGTCCTCTTTCAACAAAATTATAACTATTCATGGATATATGTTCCTGCGTGACTTCCTGTTTTACATGATATCATCATGAGCTAATAATTCATACATCTTAACTCAAATCACAGCAATTCCTATGCAGGTGGAGGTTAGGTAGTATTAGAAATTATATTTAGATAATCTTAATAAATCTTTTAATAGTAAGAAAAAGTAGAACAGTAGAGTTAAAATAGAATAATAGTAGAATAGAACAAGTAGAAATATTGTGTGAAGACATTCCAGGTTCTCACATTTGCAGTCATTAACGGATTGGCTGAGTTGCTTGCGTGTAGCAGTGCCCTCCGGGCAAGCAACACAACTCCTGCTGTCCGCTCTATCCTGGTAGAAACCAACAGCACACGGCACACACGTTCCATTGGCAGAGAATGTGCCCTGAGGACACCTCACTGAAAATAGCAAATACAAAATTAAAGTGGATAGTAATTGCTGACAAATAAACACTGATATCTCATATAAAATAACATTAATAATAACTTTTATATAATGGTACACAATCAGAATTAATATCATAGTATACAATAATATCATCAATGAATACAAACAAGTAATTTACTCCTGATAATAAATACATAACGTGTCAGTATGGAGAAATGCAAACTGTTGGAACCGTACACCCTGCACACATCCACAGTTGTTACGACAAATAAACACCACGGTACAACTATAATATGACTGTATCTACGCGACACACCACCCTACCTCACTC